GGCCTTGGGGGCGAGCGGTGGGCCGGGCTGGGGTCTCCAGAGGCCGGCGTGGGCCTGTGTGGCGGTGAGGTGGCGGTGGTGGTGGCCGGCGCGGTGCCGGCGCGTGCCGGGAGGCTGTTGCCGGGTGGTCGAGGGCGCTGCGGAGGGGCCGGTGGGTGCCTACGGCCATACCACCCTGAGAACGCCCGATCTCGTCTGATCTCGGAAGCTAAGCAGGGTCGGGCCCGGTTAGTACTTGGATGGGAGACCGCCTGGGAATACCGGGTGCTGTAGGCATCTCTTTTGGTGCCTTTTGTGCCCGGGCGGTCTCTGGTTTTGCCTGGACAACCGGGGCCAGGGCGTGCAGGGAGGGGGCAGGTGTGGTTTTGGGGTGCGGCTTGCGGCCTTGGGGGCGAGCGGTGGGCCGGGCTGGGGTCTCCAGGGGCCGGCGTGGGCCTGTGTGGCGGTGAGGTGGCGGTGGTGGTGGCCGGCGCGGTGCCGGCGCGTGCCGGGAGGCTGTTGCCGGGTGGTCGAGGGCGCTGCGGAGGGGCCGGTGGGTGCCTACGGCCATACCACCCTGAGAACGCCCGATCTCGTCTGATCTCGGAAGCTAAGCAGGGTCGGGCCCGGTTAGTACTTGGATGGGAGACCGCCTGGGAATACCGGGTGCTGTAGGCATCTCTTTTGGTGCCTTTTGTGCCCGGGCGGTCTCTGGTTTTGCCTGGGCAGGCGGGGCCAGGGCGTGCAGGGAGGGGGCAGGTGTGGTTTTGGGGTGCGGCTTGCGGCCTTGGGGGCGAGCGGTGGGCCGGGCTGGGGTCTCCAGAGGCCGGCGTGGGCCTGTGTGGCGGTGAGGTGGCGGTGGTGGTGGCCGGCGCGGTGCCGGCGCGTGCCGGGAGGCTGTTGCCGGGTGGTCGAGGGCGCTGCGGAGGGGCCGGTGGGTGCCTACGGCCATACCACCCTGAGAACGCCCGATCTCGTCTGATCTCGGAAGCTAAGCAGGGTCGGGCCCGGTTAGTACTTGGATGGGAGACCGCCTGGGAATACCGGGTGCTGTAGGCATCTCTTTTGGTGCCTTTTGTGCCCGGGCGGTCTCTGGTTTTGCCTGGGCAGCCGGGGCCAGGGCGTGCAGGGAGGGGGCAGGTGTGGTTTTGGGGTGCGGCTTGCGGCCTTGGGGGCGAGCGGTGGGCCGGGCTGGGGTCTCCAGGGGCCGGCGTGGGCCTGTGTGGCGGTGGGGTGGCGGTGGTGGTGGCCGGCGCGGTGCCGGCGCGTGCCGGGAGGCTGTTGCCGGGTGGTCGAGGGCGCTGCGGAGGGGCCGGTGGGTGCCTACGGCCATACCACCCTGAGAACGCCCGATCTCGTCTGATCTCGGAAGCTAAGCAGGGTCGGGCCCGGTTAGTACTTGGATGGGAGACCGCCTGGGAATACCGGGTGCTGTAGGCATCTCTCTTGGTGCCTTTTGTGCCCGGGCGGTCTCTGGTTTTGCCTGGGCAGGCGGGGCCAGGGCGTGCAGGGAGGGGGCAGGTGTGGTTTTGGGGTGCGGCTTGCGGCCTTGGGGGCGAGCGGTGGGCCGGGCTGGGGTCTCCAGAGGCCGGCGTGGGCCTGTGTGGCGGTGAGGTGGCGGTGGTGGTGGCCGGCGCGGTGCCGGCGCGTGCCGGGAGGCTGTTGCCGGGTGGTCGAGGGCGCTGCGGAGGGGCCGGTGGGTGCCTACGGCCATACCACCCTGAGAACGCCCGATCTCGTCTGATCTCGGAAGCTAAGCAGGGTCGGGCCCGGTTAGTACTTGGATGGGAGACCGCCTGGGAATACCGGGTGCTGTAGGCATCTCTTTTGGTGCCTTTTGTGCCCGGGCGGTCTCTGGTTTTGCCTGGACAACCGGGGCCAGGGCGTGCAGGGAGGGGGCAGGTGTGGTTTTGGGGTGCGGCTTGCGGCCTTGGGGGCGAGCGGTGGGCCGGGCTGGGGTCTCCAGGGGCCGGCGTGGGCCTGTGTGGCGGTGAGGTGGCGGTGGTGGTGGCCGGCGCGGTGCCGGCGCGTGCCGGGAGGCTGTTGCCGGGTGGTCGAGGGCGCTGCGGAGGGGCCGGTGGGTGCCTACGGCCATACCACCCTGAGAACGCCCGATCTCGTCTGATCTCGGAAGCTAAGCAGGGTCGGGCCCGGTTAGTACTTGGATGGGAGACCGCCTGGGAATACCGGGTGCTGTAGGCATCTCTTTTGGTGCCTTTTGTGCCCGGGCGGTCTCTGGTTTTGCCTGGGCAGCCGGGGCAGGGCGTGCAGGGAGGGGGCAGGTGTGGTTTTGGGGTGCGGCTTGCGGCCTTGGGGGCGAGCGGTGGGCCGGGCTGGGGTCTCCAGGGGCCGGCGTGGGCCTGTGTGGCGGTGAGGTGGCGGTGGTGGTGGCCGGCACGGTGCCGGCGCGTGCCGGGAGGCTGTTGCCGGGTGGTCGAGGGCGCTGCGGAGGGGCCGGTGGGTGCCTACGGCCATACCACCCTGAGAACGCCCGATCTCGTCTGATCTCGGAAGCTAAGCAGGGTCGGGCCCGGTTAGTACTTGGATGGGAGACCGCCTGGGAATACCGGGTGCTGTAGGCATCTCTCTTGGTGCCTTTTGTGCCCGGGCGGTCTCTGGTTTTGCCTGGGTAGCCGGGGCCAGGGCGTGCAGGGAGGGGGCAGGTGTGGTTTTGGGGTGCGGCTTGCGGCCTTGGGGGCGAGCGGTGGGCCGGGCTGGGGTCTCCAGAGGCCGGCGTGGGCCTGTGTGGCGGTGAGGTGGCGGTGGTGGTGGCCGGCGCGGTGCCGGCGCGTGCCGGGAGGCTGTTGCCGGGTGGTCGAGGGCGCTGCGGAGGGGCCGGTGGGTGCCTACGGCCATACCACCCTGAGAACGCCCGATCTCGTCTGATCTCGGAAGCTAAGCAGGGTCGGGCCCGGTTAGTACTTGGATGGGAGACCGCCTGGGAATACCGGGTGCTGTAGGCATCTCTTTTGGTGCCTTTTGTGCCCGGGCGGTCTCTGGTTTTGCCTGGACAACCGGGGCCAGGGCGTGCAGGGAGGGGGCAGGTGTGGTTTTGGGGTGCGGCTTGCGGCCTTGGGGGCGAGCGGTGGGCCGGGCTGGGGTCTCCAGGGGCCGGCGTGGGCCTGTGTGGCGGTGAGGTGGCGGTGGTGGTGGCCGGCGCGGTGCCGGCGCGTGCCGGGAGGCTGTTGCCGGGTGGTCGAGGGCGCTGCGGAGGGGCCGGTGGGTGCCTACGGCCATACCACCCTGAGAACGCCCGATCTCGTCTGATCTCGGAAGCTAAGCAGGGTCGGGCCCGGTTAGTACTTGGATGGGAGACCGCCTGGGAATACCGGGTGCTGTAGGCATCTCTTTTGGTGCCTTTTGTGCCCGGGCGGTCTCTGGTTTTGCCTGGGCAGCCAGGGCAGGGCGTGCAGGGAGGGGGCAGGTGTGGTTTTGGGGTGCGGCTTGCGGCCTTGGGGGCGAGCGGTGGGCCGGGCTGGGGTCTCCAGAGGCCGGCGTGGGCCTGTGTGGCGGTGAGGTGGCGGTGGTGGTGGCCGGCGCGGTGCCGGCGCGTGCCGGGAGGCTGTTGCCGGGTGGTCGAGGGTCCTGCAGAGGGGCCGCTGGGTGCCTACGGCCATACCACCCTGAGAACGCCCGATCTCGTCTGATCTCGGAAGCTAAGCAGGGTCGGGCCCGGTTAGTACTTGGATGGGAGACCGCCTGGGAATACCGGGTGCTGTAGGCATCTCTCTTGGTGCCTTTTGTGCCCGGGCGGTCTCTGGTTTTGCCTGGGCAGCCGGGGCAGGGCGTGCAGGGAGGGGGCAGGTGTGGTTTTGGGGTGCGGCTTGCGGCCTTGGGGGCGAGCGGTGGGCCGGGCTGGGGTCTCCAGGGGCCGGCGTGGGCCTGTGTGGCGGTGAGGTGGCGGTGGTGGTGGCCGGCGCGGTGCCGGCGCGTGCCGGGAGGCTGTTGCCGGGTGGTCGAGGGCGCTGCGGAGGGGCCGGTGGGTGCCTACGGCCATACCACCCTGAGAACGCCCGATCTCGTCTGATCTCGGAAGCTAAGCAGGGTCGGGCCCGGTTAGTACTTGGATGGGAGACCGCCTGGGAATACCGGGTGCTGTAGGCATCTCTTTTGGTGCCTTTTGTGCCCGGGCGGTCTCTGGTTTTGCCTGGGCAGCCGGGGCAGGGCGTGCAGGGAGGGGGCAGGTGTGGTTTTGGGGTGCGGCTTGCGGCCTTGGGGGCGAGCGGTGGGCCGGGCTGGGGTCTCCAGGGGCCGGCGTGGGCCTGTGTGGCGGTGAGGTGGCGGTGGTGGTGGCCGGCGCGGTGCCGGCGCGTGCCGGGAGGCTGTTGCCGGGTGGTCGAGGGCGCTGCGGACGTGCCGTTGGGTGCCTACTGCCATACCACCCTGAGAACGCCCGATCTCGTCTGATCTCGGAAGCTAAGCAGGGTCGGGCCCGGTTAGTACTTGGATGGGAGACCGCCTGGGAATACCGGGTGCTGTAGGCATCTCTTTTGGTGCCTTTTGTGCCCGGGCGGTCTCTCGTTTTGCCTGGGCAGCCGGGGCCAGGGTCTGCAGGGAGGGGGCAGGTGTGCTTTTGGGGTGCGGCTTGCGCCCTCGGGGGCGAGCAGTGGCATGCTGTCTTGTGCTTATCTTTGATAAGATTTCATTTATTTGTCTCCACACCTCTTTTCTTTTGTATTTGTTTTTTTTTTGTGTCTTTTTCTTGTTTTTCTGTTTTTATGTAGAAGAAGTTTTTTTTGAGCTTTATGGTAAATATATTCTTTTAAATTTATTGAATTTTATTTTCGCTGGCATATTGTTTATGTACGTTTTCAGTGCACTTCTTCTCTGCTGAGTGTCACTGTGTGTGGCCTGCTCTTTTGCTCTGTTTGTGCCATTGTGGGTTGTCCTGTTGACGGTCTGTTTGCTATTTTGTGACTTCTTTTTTCTATCATTATGCCTGCATTCATCTTGTTTTACGTGTGTCTCCGATGTTGCTTTCTCATTGCTTGCGATGTGGATTCTGCTGCTTGGTGTGTGCACTAGGCATGGAGCCCCTGTGTGTCTGCCAGCGGCCGTGCCATTGTCTGGAATGCCCACTGCAAGATCCCATCCCACGTGGTCTGTGGGATAGCCCCAGGTGTTCATTTTCTCTTTCCATCCCACATCCTTTCCCCTGTCCAGGCACATGCTGCCTGAGCCATACGCCCATGTCCCCCTGTGGGCCACACCAGAGACATGGTCCCCTTTGCAAGGAATCTGCCTTTTGGTGTCACACAGTCTTACCTCACCTAGCAGCGCGTCAAGCTCCTCCCGGCTCAGCACAGGGTCACTGCCCAGGGCTGCATCCTCTGCCTGTGCATGGAGAGATATCCTGTCAACTCCTTTGCTGCCCTCAGCCTGTTCACCTTTTGGTGAGGGTTGCTATCCATGTTCAGTCCCTCAGCTGATGTGGGCCCAGCTCTTGCTCCCCCTGTGCAGCTTCACTAAATTGCCTTCATGTTGTGTCAGCCCGTCCCTCAGCCTGCCTGTCCCACCTCCACCTTCCTTCTTCCTTTAAGCTCCACTTGTCCTCTCCCACCCCGCTCCTGGTGCTGACCTTGGCTGCTGGAAGCAGTTGGTCTCCAGCTGCTGCAGTGGTGCCCAGACTGCCTGTGTCCAGGGTGCCCGTGCAGGACATGCACAGCTGTAGTCCCCTAGACATCAGAGGTGACACAGACTGTCAGGGCAGAACCCTCCAGGGAGGAACTGGCACGTGGGGCATGATGGGGAACTCACCTGGGGTCCCCACTGGGAGCAGGACAGTGGTGAGGAGTGGGGATCCGGGTGCAGCAGCGGCTGCAGATGCTCCCCTCCGCTCCACCCTGATGGGTGTCCCGTGCCGCCTCCCCCAGGGTCTCCGGGGGTCTCTCCACAGGCAGGTCTGCCTCCAGCAGCTGGCCTGGTTCAGTCACGTTCTCCACGCAGGAGCCACAACGCCATGTCCCGCTGCGCAGTGCGAGCAGAGCAGTGAGGGACGGCAGGGGGCACTGGCATCCCTGCGTGCCTGGGACTCACCTGGGGACGTGGGGCAGCGGGGGCACCAGGCAGGCAAGGTGAAAGGCCCTGGGGCAGCCGTCACAGCAGATGAGCTCACCACCATCACCGCATGCTGCACACTCATCCTCATTCTCCTGTCCCCGGGGGAGTGGGCAGGGGGTCACTGCCACCCTCACGGGCTGAAGCCATGGCTGTGGCCAGGTATTTCATCGCCCTTGCCCTCTCCCCCTGCATCACCCACCCTGCGCCAAACATAGCAATCCTTTCAGGGTGGTAAAATTGCCTGTTTCTTGGGGGTTGTAATGTGGTGAACCCCCAGGAGCTGAACCCTGTGTTTTCTTTTCATGGCCAAGGCAAATGAACATGCCAGGGGAACCCCAACAGTTCCTCCTGGGGCTGCACCAGGTGTCACATCGAGGGCTCACCTGGTGGGGTGCAGGGTCCTGGCTGTAGACAGTGGCTGCTTGCAGCTGGCCCTGGGGGTGCAATTGGGGTTCCCTGTTCTGTTGGCGAGACAAGAAGGGGTTTTGAGAGGCACCGCTTGCACTGGGGGACACCCCCGGGCCATGGCTATGACGCCATGCAGGAGAAAGCCCCTGCCACAGCCTTGGCAGCTGCACAAGATGGGGTGAAAACATGAGGGGGGTGTCTGTACACTTTGGCATGCCTTGGGCTGGGTGGGAGGCTTCAGGCTGTGGCTTCTGCTCCTGGCCTCTGGCTCCTCGCAGGCAGTTGGGGTATATGGCTTGTCACCAGCTCTGCTGCCCATCTTGGAGCTGTCTGCAAGAGAGGTCAGAGGCAGCTCCAGCTCCCCTTTCCCACCTTGTCCTGCCTGAGGGTGGCTCCTGAATTTGGGGACTAAACTGGGCAGGAGGTGGCTGGGCTGAGCTGGGCTGTACTTACTTGGGTCCAGCACATGTTTAATGAGGATGCCCTCGATGGCCCCACGGCTGACGGGCACCTCACCACCTGCCACAGCCACCGCTCTCTGCACTGAGGCAGCCACTGCCTGGAGAGCTGCGGGCAGGAGATGGTTCAGTGGGGTGGGTAGTCCCCTGCCCAGGGCTGTGGGCAGACAGGGCACACAGGCAGAAGCTGCCCCGGGGCTTTCGGCACTCACCACTGGCACGAGAGGTGCGGGGTGTATCTGTGCCCTCCGGCTTCTTCACAGTCTTTGCCTTCACCAGGGGCCCTGCAGCATTGCGAGGATGGGCGTCAGGGGACACACCACAATACCTCGGGGGCAGCACCCTGCCCCATCTCCATCCTGCTCTGGGTCACCATACCAGGACTGGCACTGTGCCGTGGAGCGGGCTGTGCCGCTCGGGCCTTGTCCCGCTCCTCAGGGGCTTTCCTCTTGCCTTGGGGTCTGTGTGGGGCCGGTGCTGTGGGGCTCGGGGACAGTCGCCTTCCACGGCGCTGCCGCCCCAGCTCCACCTCTGCGAGAATAACAGGGACTGGGAGAGGCACCAGCACCCCGGCTGTCACCCCTGCCCGCTGTCAGGCCCCGGGGGTGCCCGTCCCAGCTGACCCCCACTACCTCTGGGGAAGGCGCCGCGGAGAGGCCGGAGCCGGGAGTAGCGCTCCAGGTTGTAATCCTTGAAGAGGACGGCCCAGAAGTCCCGGAGGGCGGCGGTGTCGCGGCCCAGCAGCCAGGTGAGCAGCGCGTGGAAAGCGCGGTGGGAGCCCTCCCGCTCCGCCCGGCTCAGCGTCTCCTGCCGGGCACAGCACGGCCAGGGCTGCCCTCCGACCCTGCCGCCCCCACAGCGTGACCGGCCCGGCCGGCCCCGCAGCCTCACCTTGAAGATGTGGTCAGGGACGACATCGTGGTCAGCCAGGCCATGCAGCAGTGGGAAGACGTCGTCCACGGCCATGGCGATCTCGGTGCGGTGCAGCTTCAGCAGGCGCCGCAGGTCCCCGTCGCTGCCCGGGCCCGCCATGCCGGGGACTGCCGGAGCCCTCAGCCGCCCATGCACTCACTCCCCTTTAATACACCCCGGTCCGGCACCAGAAACCTCGCCGAAGTCCCGCGGCCCCACTCATTTCTGTACGAGGCCGTAACCTGAGCCTGTCCCCCCGGCGGGCGGCGGCGCTGGGCTTGTCCCCAGCTCCGGGGACATGAAAAGGAAATACAGGGTTCAGCTTGTCCCCACGGCCCAGCCCCGGGCTCGAGGTCCGGCACCTCCCCAACTCCGGGCGGCAGCAGCCGGCGTGGGGTCCCAAACCCGCGGGGAACGCCCCGGGGGGAGCAGGGAGAGGGGTCAGTGAGGTCTTGGCGAGGGAACCCCACCTCTCTCATATCTGCAGTCACCCAGGCGTCTCCCAAAATTTCTGGACTTTCCGCAGTAGCTGCTTCTCTCATCCAGAAACTCGGCTGTAGGAGCATGTGGGAAGTAAGAGCCCAGCAGCTGGGGGTGTGACGGCAACAAGAGAGTCAGGGTGTCTTAGAGTGTGTCCTGCCCCCACACTGCCCACTTCCCTTCCCAGCATCTCTCATAGACAATGTGGTATGTCTCAAGATAGAAATACTGCAGGAGGAACTGTCTGGGTGCTCACATAATGAATGCATTCCACAGACAGAGGAGTCAAAATGTGAGTGATTTAGGGGTATGTTTGCCTGCAAAAAGATGTAAAATGCTGCTGTAGACTGGACCAATTCAGCAAATTGGTCTCCTGCAAGCAGCTTCTGTGCAGCAGCAGGAAGTGCTGACCTACAAAGAAACTCCACAAAGTGTGTGTTGGGGTACAACTGAGGATGCTGAACAAGCAAATGTCTTGCCAGAGCCATGGCAGTGCCATGAGTACACCCAGGGAATACCTGGGCAGGTGCAGCCCACAGCTCTGTCAATACCCACTTCCCAAAACTGAGGATATGGAACTGCAAAAAGCTTGGAGCCAGGGAGAAGCTGGCTCCTTGAAAGCATCTGGCATAGCAAAATCTGGGGGCCTGGCTGCTCTGTACTAGGTAGCTGGAAAAGTGAAAGCTCAATGGCTCCTACCCAAACTCCCAGACGTTTGGATTTCCCCAGGATCAATTTCTAGCGCCCCTCCCTCTGGAGGTGTGTGTGGGCTGCCCAGCAGGCTGTGCCAGGGGGGCTGTGGCTGTGCACAGCTGTCCCCAGGCCCTGGAGCAAACCCAGACCTGAGCAGGACCAGAGCACCGTGCAAGAGGGGACACTGCTGGGCAGCACAAGGGGATTCAGGAACTTTCATTGCTATGTCTTAAAAGAATAGAGCAGTATCTGCTGGCTCCAAAGCTGTGCCAGGAGGAAGCATCTGCTGTCAAGAAACTCAGGAAGAATAACAAGACAACACCCTTGGTGAGAGCAGGAAATACCCTTGCACTTGTCTAGTTAATAAATTAATGTGGTTGCCCTTGGAAAGGCTCGCCCTGCAGCTCCTTTCAGCATTTGGGGGGATTTTTCCTGTGGAAGCAGTGAGAACCATAGGCTGGGGGTAGGGTGGGTGTCATGCTGGGTTCCTGTGCCCCACACCAGGATTTCTGTGCCCAGCTCTGCTACAGTGGGGATGGCTTCACCACCAGTGTGCCATGCATCCCCCCAGGGGAACAAATTTGGATGTCAGGGGACACAGGAGGTTCATCTCCCCCTCCTGGAGCTGTGCCCAAGCCTGGCCACTGGTGCTGAGCACAAGCACAGCTGTGACACAGCCTCACAGGTCTGCTCCATTCTTCCCAGGATCACTTTTTCCCAGTATCCCACCTGCAGTGCCACAATTTATCACTGTCACCCTGTGTTAAACTGTCTGGCACGTCCCCCTGCACACCCAGCTCCCTCCTGGGGAGGCACTGCCCAACACTCCATGAGCCATATGCCCACAGAATTCAGCTTGGCCTTGTTTTAAATTCCAGCTTTGTGACTCTTTCTGTGCTGAGTCACAGACGTTGTTTTCCACATCCAGCCCACTCAGTAGTGCCATGATTTGCATTTTGGGTTGTTTTTTTTGTGTTCCTTCCCCTTTCCGAGAGGGAGGGGATGCAGAGCAGTGGCCATGAGAGGCACATCCATGCTGGGAAATCAGGAGGGTGTTTCTGTATAACCTCACTCTGGCTGGCCTGGGCAGCTCTAAGGAACTTGTAAAGGCTGCAAAGAGGCATTTTTTGCCTAGAGGAGGCATGTGCCCTGCCTGGCTGTCAGGGCCCCAGGCTGGGGTGCAGGGCTTTTAGGATGCCCCCTCCTTTCTGTTGCTCCCCCTTGTAGAAACCCGAAGGACTCAAGGGGTGAAGGATTACAATGTTTCTCCCCAAATACCCAGTAAAATCAGTGACTCATCGTCCAGCACAAGTATTTGTAGCCCCTGGGATGCACTTTGATTCCCTCCTGCAAAAGCCATTGATGCAAACACGCCCCTTCCAGCACTTCCTCCTTTCCAATTTCCCTTCCTTGCTGAAGTCCCGTGGTGCAAATCATCTCTGTGTGTCTCTCTTGGACACAACTGCCCCTCACTCATCTCAAACAACATCCCTGAACCACAGTCAGGAGAGAACAGGCAGCAGTGGAACACTGATGCATGGGATCACACCAGGAAGGCAGGGAGGCCCCACCTTTGTCTCTGATTCCAATCCCACCACGCCTGAGGCACACAGAGTCCTCATGAAACACTGCAACCATGTGCAGACATTTTATTCCTCTCCCCTTACCTTCAGATGCTCCAGATTCCAGCATCTTTGAAAAAAAGGGCTCCAAGTGGGCCCCTGTGCCAGATTCCCATTTCTTGCAGCTTCCCTACCACCGCCCCACACGGTCTGCACAGGAGCAGCTCCTCCTGCATGCATCCCAGCTGCTCCTGCAAGGGCCTGGGAAGGAGAGCTGAAGCAGAGAAGATTTACTTTCGCTTCAGTTTCCTCTTTCCTCCTCCTTTAGAAAGAAGAAACAAAAGCCCAGAGTTCTGTTATATTAATTTATTTGGGACACACCAAAAAGGAAAGTCAACAACTGTTAACGTACAAAAGTACAGAATCCTGGGACAAGATTTACTGTCCTGATTAAAAAGGCACCATGGTCCCAAAGAAGAGTAATCAGGATACCAGAATACATGATTTAGAAATTTTCCCCCTGTTGCAGCAGAAACAGAGCCAGGCTTTGGCTCTATCCACAGTCAAACCCAGTTTAAAAAAAACCCAAATATGATTTTAATGTGATAAACTCTGCTCAGCCTGTACAGGATGTCGTGAAAAGAATCGCAGCCTAGAAGTTGGTCAGATTTTTTTTGTCTTATTTTGAAACACTGAAGGTGATTAATCACTAAATAGACAACAAGGAAGACAGCAGAATGCTGACACCTGCGGCTTGACTTTCTGTCAGACACATCGGTTCAACTGAGACCAGCAGGCTGAGTGTGGGGCTTCTGAATGAAATGTAATTCCCTGTGGTAGACAGGAAGTCAAATTTGACAACCTTAATTTCCCTGAATCCCTGAAAATCATAAAGCACTATACAGCTGTGTTCCATCCGAGCCAACCCAAATGGATTTGCTTCACACACAAGCATTTATACTGTCAGCTATATCTGTAATAAAAAGGGGACTTACAGCAGTTATTAAAAAACTCCTACTTTGGCGAGGTCCGAGCTTGGCTATATTCCCTGCTGAAACAGAGCTGCTGGTGTAGAGACCCAGTGAGAGGCTCAATCCAGCACCTCTGGGCTGGAAGGCAAATAGTTTAAACGTGACATAATTTGCATGGGGAGGTCAGTGAAGCATGTCAGAGAGAGGAGATGGAGGGAGGCTGCTACCAAACCTGTGAAACTACGAGTGGTGCAGAGCACGCGGCGGGCACTAAATACTTTGGAGCAAGTTACCATGGAGAGCTTGTCAGAGACACAGAGCAAGGACCCTTGTAAGGAGCACGGTCCCTGAGAAGGGACACACAGCTCACAGCCAGACACATCCGTGCCAGGTGGCCGAGGCTGGAGCTTGCCTGGGCAGCCCAGCCGGGGTGCCGTGTCCCAGGGGACCAGCAGCTGCTCCGTGTTTCATTCCTCCTTTGGCACAGGACTTCAAAGCAGTCCGAGGACTGATTCATCAAAAGTAAATGAACTGTCAAAATTATTCGTACATGCATTTATTGTTAAAGGGAGCAAAAGCCAAAGAATGAAAGAGCACGAGTTAACGTCAGTAAATGATGTGCAGGACGGAGAGGAAAGAAACGGGGAAAAGCTGAGATACTGGAGTGGGGAAACCAACATTCACACTGGAAGGTAAATTTTAAAACCAGGCAAGTTTGCGCTCTTTCTACCACAGATCTTTTGTGGACACATAGAGACTTGGGGGTTTTCCATTTTCAGTGTGGTCTGGCAAGGTTTGGGCATCTCACCAGAGAGATCTCCAGCACTGGGTTTCACTGGAAGTTCAAGTCTCTCACCTTTAAAAACCAGTAAAGCAACTCTTAACTAAAATGTCACAGATAGTCGGTGCTCAGGATGTACGTGGGCAAGAGGGTCACGCTTTGTTCAAACAACCTCCGGGTGGAAAACTACCATCTCCCCCCTGCTGGTCTACAGACACCACCTCGGGGGTGGAAGAGCAAGCCCAGATGTCGGTGCCTGCTGCTGTGAACACCACAGCTACACCTGGGAAGGCTTATTCTTCCCTATGTCCTATAAAGGCAGTATAACAGTTTATAAAATTACTCTCATCTTAAAACTAAATAATGCAATTTGCATTTTCTCCTATGTTAACCCCCTCCCCCCAAAGATAAAACATTACCACTTCATTTAGGATTCACACCCCAGATCCTAGATTAGGGACTTCATGATAAAACTCATCCAGTTACGGGAAGGTTTATCCTGATCAAGGAAACGTTGGTAAAATAGAATCTAGAATAAAACATTCAGAATCACCAATGCTTTAACAGCCAAAGCACTCCACTGTCTTCTGCTCTCTGCCTGCTCCTCAAGCAGGAGACCAGTCCCTTTCCAAAAGCACAGCATGCCTCTCCGGGGCTGGTGACACACGCTGCAAACCCACTTCCTTCCTGGCAGAAACGCCAGCTCCCGCAGGAAGAGGCCAAGCATCTTTCACCCCCACTGCAGCCAGGGCTCTTCAGCACAGGGATTTTCTGTCAGCAACAAGTCCAAGTTACCACCCTGCAGTAAATCCGTGTCCTGATTCACGCTGTTAGGCCACCACTGGCTCAGAAATGTTGAGACTTCCAAACCCCACGGATGCAGACAAGACCTTGGAAGAAGAGGCTTACGTGCTACGTAACCTTGGATCATCCTCTACATCTGAGCCTTGGCATCGCTGGCTGCTGACAGCTCATCCTTCCAAATCCATATGGTTTAGTCCTTGCTATCATTGTCACCATCCCAGCCCTCTTCCCTGGAGGCAGCATGTTCCTGAGCTCTGGCTTGAGGATCTACAACAATCACTTCCAATGAATGGTGGGATTTCAAACTTGCCTAACGTGTGCATTGCCACCTTGTACTCCAGCAGCTCTGCCCGCTCTCAGCGGCGGGCGCTAGCAGTTTTTCACCTTTTCCACAGTCTCGTAGAAGCCAGGCCTGACCCTGCGGATGCTCATCCGTATGTGCTCGCCCTCCAGGGGCAGGTCAGTGCCGGCGGCAGTGGCGGTGCTGCGGCGCTTCCGCCGGCCCCGCAGCGAGAAGGCCGGGGCACCGCCGTTCTCCTCCTCCACAGGGTACAGCTCGTCCACGCTTGTGCCCTCATCCGACTGCTCCTCGCCCTTGTACTTCATCTCCTTTGCCTTGTTGCTCTCCTTCTCTTCCCTGGCGAGCTTCCTGAAGTGCTCCAGACACTGTATCTTCTGCCTTCTCTCCATCATCTTCAGCTCCTGCTTCTCTGTGAAATCTTCGTAGTACATTTTTCTCTCGTTCCTCTGATCTTCCAGAAACTTCCACTCGATGCTGGTCATTTTTATCCCACTGTACTCCTCCAGTTTATCCCTCAACTGTGTGTCTGTACAAAACACATCAAAGAGCTTCTCTGAACTCTCGTTGAATCTGTCGGCTCGCTCGGAAAAAGCCTGGTTCTGTCTCTGCTTCCTGGTCTGGTACAGTCGGGTGAACTCCTCGTACATTTTGAGGATGAGTTTCTTTATGTTCTGCGTGGCGATGGTGTGCAGGTTGCAGACCAGCCAGTGCTCCTGCAGGTGCTCTGCGAGCAGCTGGGCCGCGTCCTCCTTGGAGCGCTGGGCCTGGCCGGCCCTCTTGGGCTGCAGCAGGTACAGCATGTTCTGCACCACATCCTTCTTGGTGGGCAGCACCCCCTGCGCGAAGCCCGACGACTCCACGTACTCCACAGTCCCCAGGGTCTTCCGTGCCCTCACCTCGGTGTCCAGTGATTCCATCACTGCACGGTAGTTCTGTGGTTACGACATAATCTGAAAGACGGGAGGAAAAGAGAGGAATGTGTCAAACGAGGCAGTTTTTTCCACGCAGCAGAAACAAGCCGATGTAAGCCGCGCTGAGGCCAATGGGACGCGGGGCTTTGCGGCGCTCCGCCGCTGTTGGACGGCTGCGTTAGCCCGGCCCATCCCAGCCCCTGTTCCGCGAGCCTATCGCTCCTCGGAGCGGCTCCCAGAGCCTAATACGGCGCGTCTGCGTGCGGGAATTCGGCTTTAATTGAGTTTTGCACTTCGCCTTGGCAATTACAGCGAGGCAGGCAGGCCGGGGCCGCAGCGCCAGCCCGGCCGTGCCCTGCCCCGGCTCCGCCCGCCTGACCCCGCCACAGCGCCCGAACCGCCCGCTCCCCCCCCGGCCCTGAGCGCGGCCCGCACCGCCGCAACCCCTCCGGGGCGCGCAGCCGCGACGCACGGACGCATCCCCGGGCAGCTCCCGCAGCTCGGCCCCGCACCGGCCGCGGCACGCGGGGCCGCCTCCGCCGTGCGGCGCTGAGTCACGGCGCGGCGGGCCCTGGGCGCCGCCCGCCCCAGCCCCGCGCGCAGGTCGTCGCCTCTCGCCCCGGCGCCCCCCGCCCGGCACTCACCGGCATCGCGCGGAGCGCGGCGCGGAGCCTGCGCGGGGCGCGGCGCGGGAACCGCACCGACGGTGCCGCCGCCATCTTGACGAGGGGAAACGCCGCCGCTCCCTGGCCTTGCGTCCGTCCCGGAAGTACCGCCCACCCCCGCTCTCCGGATGCGCACTGCTCGCGGGCCACGCCCATTTCGTCTCGGGCCGCGCGTGAGCAGCGTGTGAGTGACACCCGCCGCGGTGCGGGGGGGTAGAAAGGGGGACGGGGGGCTCGCGCACCGCCCGCCGCGGGCAACGGGAGCCGCGTGCGCTCGCGGGGCCCCGCCAATGGGCGGGCGGGCGGGCGGGCGGGCGGCAGCGGATTGGGCGGCGCGGCCGGGGGAGCGCCGTGACGGAGCCCTTCCTGCGGGGCAACTGATTGGGCAGTGCCCTGAGGGGGCCCCTGCCAGTGAGCTGATTGGTGGGTGCCTTGGCTGTGGGGCAGGCAGGAGGGAGCTGATTGGTGGGTGCCTTGGCTGTGGGGCAGGCAGGAGGGAGCTGATTGGTGGGTGCCTTGGCTGTGGGGCAGGCAGGAGGGAGCTGATTGGTGGCTGCCTTGGCTATGGGGCAGGCAGGAGGGAGGATGATGGGTGGTTGTGGTGCCCCAGGCAGGACAGGTGCCTGGTCCCCCATGTCTGTAACCCCCGATGCCAGGTTGGTGACGGCAGCCAGACGGTGACACTGACATTGACACAGTGACAGCGGTGATGGGCGCAGGGACAGAGCCGGCGGAGGCGCAGTGTGACTCATTGGAGGGGTGAGGCCCTGCCCTGCCCCATGCTCACCCTGTGCCCCCCAGCACCGCTAATCTGCCCCTGCCCCTACAGGAGGATCTACCTGGACTACAATGCCACCACCCCCCTGGCCTCCGAGGTGTCCCAGGCTGTATGGGATGCCATGTGCCAGGCCTGGGGCAACCCCAGCAGCTCCCACCCTGCAGGTAGGGACCAGGATGGGCCATGTTCCCTCCTCGGGCTGGCCCCTGTGGTGACAGGAGCCCACGGGAGCTGCTAGGTCTGGTCCTGCAGGCAGCAAGGCCAAGGAGCTCATCGGCAGTGCACGGCAGAGCCTGGCCAACATGCTGGGAGGCCGCCCCGAGGACATCATCTTCACCTCAGGGGGCACAGAGGTGGGAGCAGGGGAACCCCCTTCCTGGGAATGCCTGCCCACCACCTCCTCTCCAGCAAGCAGCGATGAGGAGAGTAGGGATGAAGGGCACTGTGCTCCTTCTGAGCTTCCATTTTCCCTCTCCTTCCCTCCTTCAGGCAAACAACATGGTGATCCACACTGCCTGCAGGCACTTCCATGACAGCCAGCGTGGGACAGGGAACAGCCAGGGCATACCACACATTGTGACATCGAGCGTGGAACATGACTCCATCCGCCTGCCGCTGGAGCAGCTGGGGAAGGAGGGCCTGGCAGGTAAGTGGCACTGGCACAGATGAGGTTTGAACGGGGGACTTGTCTCTGCTGGTGTTCTCAGAGGAGGGCAAGATCCTGCATGCTCTGTGATGTTCCACTTTCTCCCCCTGGAGAAGGGCACCATTTCCCCCTGTGGTTGCTCATGTTGCCCCGGGCTGGATGTGTCACCTCCTTGCTCTGTGCCTACGCTGCCCACACACTCCTGCCCTGCTCAGTGGGCCACTCACAGCCTACCCAGCCAGCCTCAGGGCTTGTTTCCTGGCCTGCAGAAGCCACCTTTGTGCCTGTGTCCCCACGGAGCGGGCAGGCAGAGGTGGACGACATCCTGGCCGCCATCCAGCCAAACACCTGCCTGGTGTCCCTCATGCTGGCCAATAACGAGACCGGGGTGATCATGGTGAGTGTGCCAGAGAGGGGATGGGGCAGAGATACCTCACAAAGAGGAGGTGACAGAAGGGAGCAGAAGGGCTGCAGCCCCTCGTCCCTGCCACCAGCCCGTTGCAGAGCTGAGCCAGCGGGTCTGTGCCCTCAACCGGTGCCGAGCGGCGCAGGGGCTGCCCCGGATCCTGGTGCACACGGATGCAGCTCAGATGATTGGCAAGGGGCGCGTGGACGTGCAGGAGCTGGGCGTGGACTACCTGACCATCGTGGGACACAAGGTGTGGCCCTGCTCCTGTGGCCCAGCTGCTGATCACCCTGTGTGACATCTCTGCTGGGCTGCCAGGGGGACTTTGGGTGCCCCACGCAGCTTGGTACCTCACCAAAGTTCTCCTGCTGGGTGGTGCTCTGCAGACAGACTTCACTCCTGTGGAACCTGTCTGAGCTGGCGTGCAGGAGGCTGAGCATGGGGAGCAGCTCTGTAACGCCTTGTGCCTGTGCACTGGGCAGGGGCCAGCACTGGAGGGTGCTCAGATTTGGGCAGGATGGCAGGAAGCACTGTCAGCGTCCCCAGGGTGACCGTGGCTGTCCCCACAGTTCCATGGCCCACGGATCGGAGCGCTGTACATCCGCAGCCCCGGCACTGCCACCCCACTGCACCCCATGCTCTTTGGAGGGGGACAGGAGAGGAGTTTCCGGCCAGGGTAAGGGGTCACGTGGTTACCTGGAGAGCTGGGCCCCTGGCTGGTGGCCAGGCCACATGGGCTGCCTTGTCTGAGCTGAGCTGGCAGCTGTGTCATCTGCCAGCCCTGAGGCGAGCAACCCAGCACAGCAGGGAAACTGATCTTTGCATGGAAACTCCCTGGAGCTCAGGCTTTGCCAAGGGTGTAACAGGGTGGAACTGTCTCCTTCTGAACCACCTCAGAGAGGTGCCCAGGAGCCCTTTCCATTAATGAGGGGTCCCATGAGGGGGTCTGTGTCTCAGGGTTGAGTTTCTGTTCAGGAGAAATAACTCACTGGTCTCTTTTCCTTTCCAGCACTGAGAACACCCCGATGATTGCCGGCCTTGGCCAGGTCAGTTGGGATGGTCAAGGGTGAGTGGTGCAGAGCCAGCACAGAGACAGCCACTTGTGTTTCCTGGTCATCAGAAGGGACAAACTCGGAATATGTGGGAGGGAGAGTGAGCTGGGAAAGGTGGTGGGGCTTTCTGGTGTCAGTTGAAGGAGGTGGCTTTGGCACGCTTGCTGAGGGTTTGCAGCCCTGACAGTCACCCAGCTCACAGGGCACAGGGCACTGAGAGGTGACACAGGGGACCTGGCACTGCAGAGGCTGTTCCAGGCTGGGCTCACATCCCAGGGACCATGCACAGCAGGAGGTGTCCAAGGGTCACTGGTGGAGCCTGTCTGTGTGTTCTCAGGCTGCAGAGTTAGTGAACAAGAACTGGGAGGCCTATGAGGCTCATATGCGGGATATCCGGGATTACCTGGAGGCCACGCTGGAGGTGAGCACATCTGGTCCCTCCCCACAGTCTCAGGCTGCAGGGTGTGGGGCCTGGAGCAGGGTGGATATGTCCCTCTGGCCCTGCCCACCCCCTCATAAGCACAGAGCTGTTTGGAAACCCAGAGAGGTTCACAGCCCTCTGATTTCTCCAGGCCTCCTTTGGGAAGCAGAGGATTCGCTTCAACAGTCACTTTAAGGGCTCCAAGCGACTCTGTAACACCTGTAATTTCTCCATCCTGGGCCCAGGCCTTCAAGGTAGCTCTTACCCTGCTGCTGTCCCATGATTGTTACACAGAGCCAAGCACCTGCCCCTCACACACCTGTGGCTGAGGCTGGGGGGCACTTGGCATGGCCCAGGCAGGGAGCTGAGGCAGGAGTAGCCCTGGAGGGAACCTTGGCACTGGGAGAGCTGTGCTTGTGTTGTGCTGCAGGACGGAGGGTACTGGCTCACTGCAGGGTGCTCCTCGCCAGCGTCGGGGCTGCCTGCCACTCTGACAAGGGGGATCGGTGAGCACACGGCTTTTCCAGCCCCTGGGTGTCTTCCCAGAGGACAGGACTTGGGAGGGATGGAAACAGGACAGGGAAAGGGACAGTGGGTGGCTTGGGCAGCACCACCTGGAATAAAGAGGGTACAGAGCTCCTCCTTCCAGAGGAGCTGAAGGGCTGTGAAGGGGATTTTTGCAGGTGACACAGCTGGAATGCTGGATTGCTGCTTGGAAGGAGTTTGTCCCACCCAGCTTTGGTTATCCAGCTTTTAAACTCCTGGCACTACCAGAAGAGAGCCTGCCTTGAGTCTTTGTGTGCCTGGCTCATCTGCTCCAGCCCTGCTTGGGTGTCTAGATGGCTCCTTTAGGGGATATGGGGACTGTGGGTGCTTTTGGTCTAGAGCAATGCCCTCTGGATGTGGCAGAGCTGCCAACCCACAGGGACCTGGAACAGGCTCTGCTTAGAAGAGCCAGATCCCCCTTAGGGCAACAAGCCTGGTGGGGTTGGGTGCCCCTGGAAAGCAAACAGGGGGCTGTGCAGGGACAGCTACCTGGAGTGTGTCTGCAAATGTGATTGCTTCTGTGCCTCGGTGAGGCTCCCTGCTGATGTGTGGGGCATCCTCAGCTCTCCAGTCCAACCTGCTGGCCCTGGCTGTGTTGCAGGCCCTCCCCAGTGCTGCTGAGCTGTGGGGTTCCCCCCGAGGTGGCGCAGAACGCGCTGCGGCTGAGCGTGGGGCGCGGCACCACCCGGGCAGACGTGGACAGGGCTGTGCAGGACCTCGTGCAGGCTGTGGAGCAGCTGGAGCGGGACCAGGCCCCATAGAGCCCTGAATTGCTTCACAGACACCACTCAGGTTCTTGGGGTGGGCCCCTGGGTGCCAGCCTGGGCTCAGGGGTGGCAGGGGGAGGTTCTGAGAAGGGGCTTGGCTGCTTTGGGGCTGGGGGAGCTCCAGGGCTTGCCCAGGACTCAGCCCTGCTGCACAGTGGAGACTTTTGCAGAGTCCTGTTGTCCAGTACCCCTGGTTGGCCAGATGGGTGCCTGCACATGTATGTGTTGGCACAGCTAAGCCTCAGAGCTCAAGTCCCTGCAGAGGCACAGGCGTGGAAGCCCTTGAAGGAGGAGCCTCATGACCTGGTTGCTTTCCACAAGGGAAGCTTTCCCACTGCCTGAGCAGCCAGAAGAAGAAAGACCATCTGCCCCAGAGTGAAATGAGGAGTTGATAGAAGCACAGCAGGATTCTGGGCTGGGAACTGCTCTGCCCTAAGCTGTCAAAGGGATTTCTGGCTGGGCAGAGC